GAAGTGGCCGGAGTCTATATCCCTGCAACCCACTCCCCCTATAACTGGAAGATCTATGCTTGTCTCTGTTTTTAAGGATTGCACCACTTCTCAATATTACCACTGGCTGAAGACCACTGGCTTAACATCTGGATCTGTCTCTTTCTTAAAGTCCTAGTTAAGCAAGGTCCTAAACTACTTTTGTTTTTTTAAAGAATTACTTTCTTTTTAATCATTTTCATCCTTATTTACACTTTCAGCTTCTCATGCTAAAGATACTATTCGGTATTTACACATGTGTGTCCTATTTATTTCACTTAAGAGTATGGGCTCAATATGGATCCACTTAGCTATAAATGACTCTAGTTTCTCATTCTTTATGGCTGAGTAGTACTCCATTTTATAAAAAAAATCCCACACCTTCTTTATCCAGTTTCTAGTTGATGGGCACTTGGGCTGTTTCCAAACCTTAGCTATTACAAATTGTGCCACTATAAACATAGGTGCAGATATATCGTGGTGGTATGATTCTTTTAATTCTTTGTAGAAGATACCCAGTAGGGAAACAGCTGGGTCAAATGGCACCTCTAGTCTTATTTGAAATAGGAAAAGGTCCAAAGGTGGAGGGGTGGTGGGAGGGGAAGGGGAAAGGGAAGAAAGGAAAGGAAAAATTATGAGAAAAAAAAATGGAAACAAAGTCTATGTAAGTAGAGAAGGGTGGTGGGGGTGAAGGGCGCATAGGTAAAGGGGAAAAACTAAGAACTAAGATACATCATGTTCAGGTACAAACACTCAATGATAAATGTAAATGCATCGTATACCTAAATTGTACCAACTAATATATAAATAATAAAAAGAATTACTTTCTTAATGGAGTTGCTTTACTCCTATATGATAAGAATGTCATGTGTTACTAAACTGGCTTTTTAAAATCTTGTTAATCTTTTTAAATAAAGGGTTCCAACTACGAACTTATAGGGCTTGAGGAAATATCATATTGTCTCTCCATCATTGTTAACACTACTTTAGGAGTTGAGTTGGGTTTAGGGAAATATTTTAATTGTTTCAGACAAAAGGAAGCCCACTGAAGCTGAATTGCTGACATGAGTACAATATAGAAAATGTATCTTCCTTTATTCTCTCAATTTTTAACTGTTTCTTACTGGAAAAGGTAGGAAATTTCTTCACTAATTCCAAAGTATTTGTCTACTGCAAAGTACGGGCTATTCAAAATCTATGATGTAACTGATCAGTACTAATATTATTATTATATGGCAAACCAAGACTTTTATATTTCCCCCAACAAATGCAGGACATTTACCAGAATTTAAGGTTTTCTAACCCTTGTTTTTAAAATTCTAATGCTGCTGAGAGTTTTCTTGCTCTTGAGATTTATTTCTATTGTAGATGATGTAGTAGGTTGCATCTTAATTACCTCCTTGGATTTCTGTCTATATTCTCCAGTGAGAAAGTCCCATTGTGGGAAATTCAGTCTTTATAAATCCTTTTGAGTTATCCTTTGATGATAATCACAGGTAGGTGCAATGCTTCCCAGAGCATTTTTTCTTCATGGACCAGTAGGTACATGAACAAGGACAAAAAATATATTTTTTTATAAAATCAGTGTAAAGTGTCAGCTTTCTAGACTGTTGTAATTCTGAGTAGGAAGACAATATTTTGTGGGGTGTTTTCAGGAAATGGGGTTGGAGATACTTCACTGTGATAATCTGTTGACTGTGACAGTCTGTTGAAGTCTGCCATAAATATTTCTTTGGACCTGATGCCGCAGTCTAAGAACAGTGAGCCATGTGAGGACAGAGCTGTACACCATCTTATCCAAAGAAACAATGGCAAATCTCTTCATAAAATATCACCATGTGGCAATCAATAATTTATTTTCCTTTTTTACACTAAAAATATTTCCTTTTTTTTTTTTTTTTTTTTGCTACCAGGGATCGAACTCAAATCCTTCTGCTTGCAAGGCAGGCGGTGGAACCAATGAGCTAAATCCCCAGCCCCAAAGATATTTCCTTCTTACTATAAATGTTTTTAATTATTTGTTTTGCTGTCTCTCAAACAGGTAGACTCACAAAATTAACATTTTACAAAGTTACTAACAGTTGTACAATACCAACAACATGTTTCAAAAGTCATTATTGACAAAGCAGCCTTCTTGTCTATAGGGCATTAATAAACTACCCCAAACTACCTAGAAATCACCAGGGTTTTTTCTTTTATATCTTAAACGGTTGGAGATTAACATGGAGAAAGCCTAAAGAAAAACGTCAACTCAATCTGTCATTTTGTAGAACCTGCCCTGTGATGATAGTGCACAGAAGTTGTCTATAAAAATTGGCAAGTTAAATAATGAGTTCGGACACTTCTTAGGGAGGCCAGGTTTCATGGTTTGCCTAAGACTATGGAGTTTCTCAGGGTGCCAAGATTTCACACCCAAACCAGGAAGTTCCTGGTTAAATGAGGGGCAGGTTTTCACCCTACACACTTCCTACCTCAGACTGAGCTGACACAGAACATAGATGGGGTTCACTAGGTGTCCGCAGTTGGAGCTCCTTCTGCTCTTGTTAAAATTTGTCATTAAATGGGTATTAATATGTGAAGGCTTCTTAGAGGTGAAGACGTCTTTCGGTTTGCCTTAACGATACATTTAGCCTTAAGTCTTAACGACTAATATCACTTTCATTTTTATATATTTCATGACTATGTTTGCCTTAAGTGAAGAAGGAGCAGATACAAATGTCTTTGTAATATACAAGGTTCATTAATCTTCAAGCAAATAAATGAAGGCGTAAAAATGCTTTCAGCATGCTAGCATAGAGGAAGCATTCAGGCTTCTTGCCTGAATGTGTGAGAACTGGGAAGTGAAGAATGAAGTGGGCATCTGTGTACAACAGAAGGTGTATTAATCAGGGGGGCCCTCAGTTTCCTCTTTTACAAATTCAGATTTAAAGTAAATAACACCTGTTTGGTCTTTTGGTACATGCAGTCTATAATATGCTTGTTTTATTTCATTTCATTTACTGTCAGTGTTCAAGAGAAAGGGAGTAATTTCTTTTTATTCCCACCTCCATTTTTCCTTGCCATGTATTCCAACTGGCAATTGAGTATTGAAGGCAGAGAGATAGCAACACAGCTAAGGTAGGGACAGATCCTAGGGAATAAATTAGAGAATGATAGATCCTAAGACAGTAGGAAAAATGTGTCTTTTTCATACAAAATATTTCCTTAGTAATAGTTATTGATGAATGAATCAGTGTATCAGTTTCTCCAGAACAGGAAGAGAAATACGTTAGAAAGAAAAACTAGTGATATTTCTGGAAAGCATTAAATAAATAAATAATAACCCAACAATATAATAGAACCTTGAGCTCCACTATTTGATCAGTGATATTTACCTTAAATTATTAAGTAGCTGATAACAGCACAGTAAGTATAAAGTGATGAAGATACTATTAAAATATATGAAGGTATGTGTAATAATGATATAAAGAAACCATACAAGATGATCCTATTTTGGACTTTTTATGTTTACATTCTCTTATCTTTTCTTGACTTGTATCATCTGATTTAATCCTCAGACATCACCATATTTTTCAGAAGAAGAAAAAAATCATTGAGAGATGATTAATTCACTTTATTTAAAAATATATAATCAAATCATATCACCATGTATTGTGATGTATTAATATTTAAAGAAAGATATTGTTTACAAATCTTTACAGTTGGGTACATGGATAAACATAGTATCTCTTTTTTAACAGATACAATGAAAGTTTATGCTGTCTAGGAAAGCTTATTCTGTACAATTCATAAAATTTTAGATAATTTTCTACATCTTATTGTACAGCTATGCTTTATAATAGCTTAAAGACACCAATTAGCATCTAACTTATTTTCTTCATACCGCCATGATGGAGAAAACAAGTTTCTCTTTTAAGTAATTAAGAAGCCATTATATGAGTTTTCTATATGTATATGCATGCAAATATGATTATGTGTATGTATTTTACTTGATGTTATGAACAGTGCATGGATTATAAACCATTAGAACATAAGGCTAAATTGATGATTATAAATTAGTCCAAAATATTGATGGTTTTAGAATGTGGTAGGCAGAATCCAGAATTCATATTTCCTTATTGTAATTGGATACAGTAAAAAACTCAAAAAATATTGCTCTGCAGCCCATCAACTAATTTCCTTAACTTTACATTTTGAAATTTTCATTAATTTAAGTTGATTTATTTGTAGACAATCAGACAGACCTTTACTGAATATTTTATTATGCTTTTGTAACTCAAAGGTCTAGGAAAGAGAAGTAAGAGGTTGCCACAGAATTTGTTACCTCTTTAAGATCCCAAAGAGGATTTCTTTGCATGCAAAGATCTTATACATTTTAAGGTTGACTAAAAAAATAAGTATTGTTTTTTTCTGATGTGTGTAATGAGTTTATGTTAAACCATTTATTCCATCTTAAGTCATTTACATTATATACATCTAAAGTTTGTAAGATGATGATAGGAAAGTCCCATTTAACTTTCCAAGGAAGGAATATCATTTTCTGAGCTGTGGCTATAAATGATTTTCTAATATATGGTAGACTATATGTGCTGTACAAATCTAATAAATAAATAATATACATGTACGTTCTCCAAGTTGGGACCAGTGAGAAATGGTCTTTTTCTTTCCAGAAGATAAAATTTTTTCTTTTGAAATATTTATTTCTAGGCAAATAAAACTATACACAACAACTTATGTTATTTTATGACTTTTTGTGTAAAAAATAATACACATATAAATGTATTAGACAAATAAATAAAAATTAAGCAAAGATATCGAAAAAAGGAGAGATGAGATCTAAACATATCAGTGCCATTGAAAGAAAATGGATTAGGAAAGATAATCTTAAGGTAAAGTGGATGTATTTTATTTTCTGTGTATTTACTGATTTCTATTTGTTTTATTAGATAAAGTGCATCTTTCTCTGGATTGGATTTAAGAAAATGCTCAATTTTACTGATGTTACAGAATTTATTCTTTTAGGTTTAACTAGTCGTCCTGAACTACAGCTCCCTCTCTTTGTGGTTTTTTTGCTGATCTACACTGTCACCCTGCTTGGGAATATTGGCATGATCATATTAATCGAGATTAGTCCTCAGCTCAGCAGTCCCATGTACTTTTTCCTCAGTCACCTATCTTTTTCAGATGTGTGGTTCTCCTCAAATGTCACCCCTAAAATGTTGGAAAATCTGGTTTCTGAGATCAAAACCATCTCCTATGCTGGGTGTATAGTGCAGTGCTTTTTCTTCATTGCTTTTGTCCACGTGGAAGTCTTCATCCTGGCTGTCATGGCCTTTGATCGCTACATGGCGATTGGCAATCCCCTGCTTTATGGCAGCAGAATGTCAAGAACTCTGTGTGTTGGACTCATCTCTTTCCCTTATGTGTATGGCTTCTTTATCAGTTTGATCGCAACACTGTGGACCCATGGTTTGTATTTCTGTGGAAACATCCAGATCAACCATTTCTACTGTGCAGATCCGGCTGTCATCAAAATAGCCTGCGCTGGGACCTTCATTAAAGAGTACACCATGCGCACGTTAGTAGGTCTTAACTTCTCTTACTCCTTATTGGTCATTATTGTCTCATATATATTCATCCTCATTGCCATCTTGAGAATGCGTTCTGCAGAAGGAAGGAAGAAAGCCTTTTCCACCTGTGGGTCTCACTTGACAGCTGTCACCGTATTCTATGGGACACTCTTCTTTATGTACCTCAGGAGCCCAACAGAGGAATCAGTAGAGCAGGGCAAGATGGTGGCTGTCTTCTACACCACAGTTATCCCAATGTTGAACCCCATGATCTACAGTCTGAGGAACAAGGACGTGAAGGAAGCCATGAACAAAGCCATCAGTAGAATATTTTTAACTAAATAAAAACTTAAAATTCTTGATGAATCCACAGTTCATTAGAACAGGTAGAAGATATTTTTTCAAATAATTTTGAGGAAATCTGTTATTTATAGTTTCAATGCGTAGACAAAGATAATATGTAATTGAACAGGAAATAATGGTGCAGAAAGGAAACAGATGTAAACAGGGCTCTGGATCATGAAATCTAAAGATTCTCTATTCCATGTTAGGTCAGATTTAGAAGTTTTATTTGTAATTTGAGAAGTATTTTTATGCCTGCTTGACATTTTACGAGAAGCCCATTGTTCAAACCCTGCTTTTAAAAGAATGGTCATGGTCTCTTTTGTACCCAGCAGATGATTTGTTTCTCTATTATGCAGTATGTTGTTATTTCAAAATGTTTAAATTGAAGAAAGCTTCACCAGGAATTACAATGGTTCATTTGTTCCCAAATTTAATTTGCCCCACAATTCTGGGAAAGACATCTGTGGTCATGTATGTCCCTTGATGTGGAGTTCACAAATGGAAGAAAAAAATTTGGCCAACCCTTCTGTTCACAAACCAAATTGTTTGTGAACAGAAGCATTTGTGAACCAAGGTAATTCTGTGTTGTCATTTTTGAAGAAAACATTGCAGACAATTTTGTGTAAAGTATATTATAAGGTTTAAAAAACATTATGAGTATACTACATGAGTCTTCACTTTCAAATCCATATTAATTTGTTACATAGAATTGATTCATAAAGAACTTATTTAATATCCTGTTATCTACTTAACATGGAATTCATGTCTTCTGTTTAAAAATGAATATCAGAAGGTGATAACCACACTTCTTTGGTATTTTAGAATTTTACATGGGCTTCAATAGGCAGATTTCAGGAAGTCACTCAGAATATTTTGAAGGAATGTGGAAATATATTTACTATTCTTTATTTTTTGACATATTTTAATTTTGGTGTTTGGTGGTAATAGAAACAAACTATGCCATTTAAATTTCCTGGCATATTCATTTACCATACCTGTTTTTAAAACTAACAAATGAATATTCAAAGAAAAAGATTGGCCTACACTTTGATATTTTGCTGCATTGTTACCCCAGTTTAGAAGCTTTGGTATGGAAAATAGAAAATCCTTTCTGGCATGGAGAAAATATATAATTTTTCTTATTATTGTACAAATCTGTTCATTTTTTATTTAACAATAAATTTATAAGGATATTTAAAACACAAAAGTGGCATTTCACAAAGAAAAATTAAGCACTTACAAATATGCATAGTTCTACTTACATATGTGTTTGTATGTATAGGTACACATGCATGTGTTGTGTAGTTGTGTAGCTCTTTAAGATTAGATAACTTGATCAAAATTCTATGAGAATTCTTCTTTGGGACTCTTCCTCAGTATCAAACTAGTTGTCTCATAAGATTAGTAGTGGTTATATTATACCATATTTTACTTACTATATCAAATATATTGTATCATATGGTATGCTAAGTTAGTGTACTATTATCCCTTCTACTTCATGTAAATTTGTAACTCCAAACTGCCTACTTCATCAACATACCTTCTTTCTCTACTTTGCAGTATCGTGATCAAAGACTGTGTAGCTCAGTCAGTTTGAAGTGTAGAAATTTTCTCACTGTTGTAATATAAATATGCCCAGGGACTGATGAAGTTAAACGTAATGACATTCCTTGAGCATTTTAATTATTTAAAATATGTTCTTTTTTCATTTTTCTGTTGGATAATTCATATTTTTGAAATAAAATAATTATCTAATATCTAAAGTGCTAGCTCATTCTACTTTAACATTTATGAAAGGCCATTCAGACTTGATCCTGACTGTAATACCAATATCATAAGCTTTCCACATGATATTGGCTTAATAAATATTTGTGAGTAATAGCAGTGGTTCATTTATAATATAAGCCATATTTTCCACTTAAAGTGGTTGCTTTTTTTTATGGTGTTTAAAAAATACTTATATTTTGGATAATTATTGCATTGGCTTTATTAAACTTTGTCTTTCATCATGAGATTTATGACAGAAAAGGTCCTCTTTCAAATATAGCTATGTAGCATTAAAATTCAATTTCACTTCCCTTTTGAATGAATAATAAAACCAAACAAAAATGTAGCTGTATTTCTCAGCTTCCTTTGCAGTTTCTTTGTCCACCTCACTGATGTTCTGCCTAAGGGCATGTGAGTAGAAAGTTTGTACTATTTCTAAGCCAGGACAGAACTGTCTCCCAGAATTCACCCCATGTATTATCTCTTATTTTTTATCTGTGCATCAGATGCAAACATGGCTCTCTAGGGCCTCATGGGTTGGTGGGGCATCTCGGGTTGCAGTCTGTCATAGAGTCACTTGTTGACCATCTGAAAATGAGCCCTTTTCACTGTTATATGAATAAGAAATAAATGAGTACTAAGCTTAAGCACCGATCACCTGCCTAATCATCATGTTTTCTGAAATTGTCCTAGTTACCAGTATTGTTTTAATATTTATGAACAGACTGCATAATCATTCACAGAAAAGACTGCAAACTATCTGAGCTCATAATCTAGGATAAATTTTCATAAAAATAACCAAATTCATTTTATTAATAATCTATATATCCAATAATTTAAAATGCCAGTAATGGAATATATAAACCTTTTTTGTTTATGCTACTTTTGGCTTCTTTCTCAGCATTCTAACATGCAGTTTTCCTCACCTTCTCCTACCTAGCATACATTTACTGAGTGCCTATTATGTAACAGGGCTTGTTTAAGTTCTTATCAATGAATAGAATGGAAACTGTTTGTTTTCAGAAAACATATTACAGTAGTGTGAGACATACAAAATCAATTAGCCTAATATTTAGATCATATGGCATGTTACACTTTGTCAATTGACAAAATTTAGAGAACATGGTATAGAATAAATGATGAAATGGATGCAACTGGCTTATGCAGATGTGATGGTTGCACTTCATTTTAAGATACACCAAAAAGTTTCCCACACTTGTCTTGCTCTACAAATAATACATATTTGAGGACCAGAGGAGCCTTGTTGCAGGCAAGTCCAGCCAGGGACTGACTAGAACCCAGCCACTTGGGCTCAGAGGCTCCAGCCAAATACCTGCCTGGAAAAGAGCCACACAGGCCCTCAAGCAACAGCCAGAGGCCAGCCCTGATACCATTGGTAAGTGCACACAGACCCTAGCCAGAAGCCCTTTCAGACACCAGCAACTGGGTTGCACAGCCCCTAGCTAAAGGTCCTCCCAGAAAACAGCTACATTGGAAGGCAGGCCCAGGCCAGAGGCATGCCTAGACACCAACCCAAGTGTGCACAGGCCTCAGCCAGAGCCCTGACTGTAAAACAGGACAGCACAGGGATCCAGAAGGCCACCACTCTGAATCCAGGAATTGGTGGAGTGGTGAGCAGCAGAAAAAAGACTGGAAGTTGGCTTGCTGAGAATTGAAGACCACTGGGTGAGCAAAAATTTGCTTTAACAAAGGTGCCACAGGCTGCATCTGTTGAAATGAAAAGACACAGAAGCAAGTCTCAAAGCCAGACTTCCAGAGCACTTATGGCAACCCCAAAGGGCAAGGACATGGAATAGGCTGATACTCAACCACCGGGACTCCCTAAACTGTCCTAGAAAGAGCATCTGGAAAAAATGAAATAAGAAATAATTTCTCAGATAACAACAGAAATTGTATCCATAGTGTAAGACATGATTAATAAATCTAGAGCATACACAGATTAAAAACAAAAAGAGCTGAGGAACATGATGGAATCCCAACATAGGAAACAAATGGAATCCAGAAAATAGATACAAAGAGATTTCCAGGATATTAAAAATTCTATTGAAAATTTATGCAGCAGAGTAAGCGAGTGAGAGAACAGAATTTGAGGTATAGAAGATATGATTGCAATGAGTGACCAGGAAAAGAAAAATTTCTTCAAAATAGTAAGGGATAACCAAAAATCAATCCAGCAGTTGCTAGATGATGCAAAGAAGAATAAGAGAAGACTGATTGGAGTCAATAAAGAATTAAGAGTGTGCAAACATCATAAAAAACTGTTCACAGGAGTAATGTCAGAAAAATTCCCAAGCAGGAGAAAAGTACTTGACATACAGATAAGTGAGGTATATAAGACTCCAACTAGCCATGATAAAAAAAAAAACTACACCTAAGGATATAATAGTTAAAACTCCAGAAACCCAAAAGAAGAACAAAGTTCTACAAGCACTTAGAGAAAAGAAACAAATCACATACAAAGGAAAGCCCATCAGAGTCACAGCAGACTTCTCAATGCAAACCCTCAAGGGAAGAAGAGCTTGGAGTGATGTATTTCAAGCCCTAAAGGAAAACAGCCTCCAACCCAAACTGATGTACCCTGCAAAACTGTTTTTCCAAATTGATGGAGAAATAAGATACTTTCATGAAAAAGAGCACCTGAGGAACTTCATGAATACCAAACCAGCACTCCAAAGAATTTTAAACCATATCCTAGGAAAAGACAATGTGGATCACAACCCCAAGAAGCCCAGAAGAATGAATCCATCAGCCACAACAAGAAATGAAATGTAAAGGGGGAGAATCCAACAAAATGAAAAAACAAGGATTAGTCAATACATATCAGTTATAACCATCAATGTTAATGTTCTCAATTCACCAATAAAAAGAAATAGACTGGCAGAATGGGTCAAAAAGCAAGATCCAACAATAAGCTGCATTCAAGAAACACACAATTCAAAAAGAAAGCCATAGACTAAAAGTTAAAGGATGGAAAACAATCCTCCATGTGACATTATCCCCAATAAAAGCTCTCCTCCTTGCAGATCAAATAGATTTCAAACCAACACTGATTAAGAGGAGCAAAAGACAGTACATTCTTGTATAGGGAACAATCCAAGAGAAGAAATGACAATCATAAATATATATATGCACTAAACACTAGTGTGTCCAACTATATAAAATGGACATGAAAAATCAAGTAAGCACTAATACAATAGTACTAGAGGATCTCA